GCAGTGTGTTTTACCTGTGGCAGTGTGTGTGTTACCTGTAGCAGTGTGTTTTACCTGTGGCAGTGTGTGTTACCTGCAGCAGTGTGTGTTACCTGTAGCAGGGTGTGTGTTACCTGCAGCAGTGTGTGTGTTACCTGCAGCAGTGTGTGTTACCTGCAGCAGTGTGTTTTACCTGTGGCAGTGTGTGTTACCTGCAGCAGTGTGTGTTACCTGTAGCAGGGTGTGTGTTACCTGCAGCAGTGTGTGTTACCTGCAGCAGTGTGTTTTACCTGTGGCAGTGTGTGTGTTACCTGCAGCAGTGTGTGTTACCTGCAGCAGTGTGTGTTACCTGCAGCAGTGTGTGTGTTACCTGCAGCAGTGTGTGTTACCTGCAGCAGGTGTCCTCTAGCTCCGTAGCCTCTGATGAACAGCCAGTACAGGGTCGTGAACCAACTGGGCCCCGGAAGCTCCGCGGCGGTCTTCAGCCTTCTCCGCGGCTCTAAGGCCGCCGGTTCGCTCAGGCTCCTCCGGGCCCAGACCGAGGCTCCGGTTCCGGCACCGGGCCACAGCGGCCTCTGGGTCCGGGTGCAGAACGCTGTGAGGCGGAGAGCCCCGGCTGCAGCTGCCCGGCAGCCGCCCATGGTGCTGCCTGTTTCTGATACTTCGAGGCTGATGCTTCGCTTTAACACTCGGAGCTTTGTGTGGCGCCCCCTACAGGCGAACAAGGGGATACCGAACAATGAGGGTTCTGTAGGTCCCTGAGGAAACTTTAGTTCATTATGAGATCAGCTAACATTAAAGAGAACAAAATATTTATTCACTAATAAATACTTAAAGTTCACAAACTTCGTTCTAATATTTTATATCTATCTATCTATCTATCTATCTATCTTAAAATTTAAGTGACTGTTTTTGGAATGGATGAAGGAAATTACAAACTGTCAGCACTGACTAGTCGTGCTACCATAAATAATGCAGTAAAACAGTTAGACTGTTGTTTTCCTTCAGAGGTATCTGTACATGTGTAAGAGTGGACAGGCATGGCAGCTGTGGTGAGCAGGGTCAGGGGTCGCTCCCCTCCACGCTGTGCAGCAGGAAGACAGTTTGTCTCACGTAGGCCTGATTACTGCCAGTCACATATTCTTAAGAAGTACATGTACAAATGAGGAACAATTAAAGTTTAGTTCTTATATTCAGGGTTTCGTTTTGTTGTTGATTGGATGAAGGAAATCACAAAAGCTACTTAAAATGTG